GGTATTTGCTGCAGTAGGCGTTTTATTGGTAGTTGATGTAGTAGGTGTTGTTCTGGCAGTCACAGGAGTAGTTGTACTGGGCGTCGTTGCGTTAGTCATATTAGCAGGCGTTGTTGCGGTAAATGCTATAGCAGACGTTGTTGTGGCAGTTGCTGCAGTAAGCGTTTTTCTAGTAATCGTAGAAGCAGCTGTACTGGACGTCGCTGCGGCAGTCGTTTTAACAGCCGTAGCAGGCATTGTTGTGGTAACTTCTGTAGAAGACTTTGTTGTGGTATTTGCTGCAGTAGACGTATTGGTAGTTGATGTAGTAGGTGTTGTTCCGGTAGTTGCTGTAGTATGTGTTATAGTAGATGATGTATTAGGCGTTGTTTGGGTGGTCATAGAAGTTGTTGTGGTAAGTGGAGAATTTGTAGTTTCCTGGTTCTCTTCGCCGTTACGGGATTTTGCGATGATAGGTGGGCATGTCGTAACTATAGGTTCAGATGTTGTTGGGCTAGACGCAGACATTATGATAAGTGGCGGTGATATTGCATCTGTCATTTCCTGGATCCTCAGTACCTCTTGCTCGTTGTTTTTCCGTAATGGTGTGCGTAGAAAGGCAAAAATCGATGCATCGATACAGCAGGGTATTAGAACCGCTCCTGAAGAATGTGATATACTTTAAATGTTGCTAAAGTTATGGTACTTTTCTATCTCTGAGTTTATCATCCACTCTATATTCCATCTTAGTGCAGCGTATTACATCTGTCCGGCGAAGGTATGAAACCGAGCCAGCAGAAGTATTGAGCTCGTTCAAGCGAATCGATTTAGTTTGTAATTCTTGTAAGCTTTGCAAGAAACTTTTCTTTAATTTCTTCGTTCGTTCGCCACAAAAGCCAAGAGAATGGGATGAAGGCAGTGTTGTAGTACGAACATTTTATCTTACAGATGCGTAAGAAAAACCCATTTTACGCTTACTGGCTCGGTATGAGCGGCAAACATTCTCAAAAAAAAAAAAAAAACATTTGCTTCCTACTCAGTCTGGTTACCGAGTTAATTGGGTGCCAGAAGTATTACGAATTAAATTTTCATTTGCGCGCAGTGAGATCTAGGCGTGCTTTAAAACTGAATTTGTAATGATTAGTTAGCACATTAGCTAGGATATCCTTGTAAAGTCTTAGCTCTCTAGTACGACTGGTTGGTAACATTGCTTTCCCATTACTAAACTTCTGAATGACCGAAAAAAGGAAACAAGCGTTACCAAAGCTTATTTTAAGCGTACGTTCCTGCGTATAGGAAGCAAATGTTCTTATAACGTTGAAGCTTTCTAATCAAATTAATTTTCGGGTTGGCATTTTGCTAGCGATACCAAAACTTTAACCTCAACACTTTTGTATGCACGACGCAGGCACGTTAATGCTGAATTTGAAATCTTTAGTCTACATTAGGAAATAAAAAA